TGAGTTTCCTGAAAGCAGGAAATGGAAGCAGGTGCTGGTGAGGCTGCACCTCAAATAATGTGTTCAGTTTCATGTCTCTCATTACAAGAAGGACATTGAGTTGCTGAAGCACATCCAAAGAAGGGCAACAAAGTTGGTGAGGGGTCTAGAGCACAAGCATTTTCAGGACCATCTAAGGGAACTGGAGTTGTTTAGCCTGGAGAAAAAGAGGCTGAGGAGGCAGGGAGCTGGCAGATTAGCTGTTACAGCTACAGCATGTCGCTTACTGCAGCCACTTACGAGGGTTCTCACATATGGATTTGAAGCACAAAACCATGGATGCTACTTGTTCCTTGGCAATTTTCTTTTCTCTCTCTCCTCAACCCCCCACATTCTCCCTGAAACACTGCTGCAGAACCAATCTGCAGTTGCTCTCTACATCTACCTGAAAGGATGGTATAGCATGGTGGGGGTTGGTCTCTTTTCCCAAGTAACTAGAGATAGAATAAGAGGAAATGGCCTCAATTTGCTCCAGAGGAGGTTTGGTTAGAATATTAGGAAAAAAATTGTTCATTAAGAAGGTTTTCAGGAGCTGGAATAGGCTGCCCAGGGAGGTGGTTGAGTCACCATCCCTGGACGTATTTAAAAGACATGGTGACGTGGTGCTTAAAGATATTTTTTAGGGGTGGATTTGGCAGTGTTAGGTTAACAGTTGGACTTGATCATCTTAAAGTTCTTTTCCAACCAAAATTATTCTATATACACACATCTACACCAGCTGCTGCACTGGCTTTGCACAATGATGAGTCTTTCCACCAAATGTTCCTTGCTGTGTAGCATGCTGCTGCCAGGACATATGTGTCCACCCATGTATCTGGTCCCACTTCACCCCATGTGCTCAGGATAAATGGCTGCCACTTCCACCAATAGAAGCTTTATAGGAGATGTAGACCACTACTAGCAAAATAGCTTGTGGCCTGTTGTCTCCAACAGAAAGGAAGCTTGAGTGAGTGACCTCATGGACACAAGGTGCTTTTCTTGGACACAAGGATAGGATACTAGATAAGACACTGAAGTGGTGAATGAATAGGGAGGAGGATGGAGCTAGTAGCAGAAAACACAGCTGGCACTTCACATAACGTGGGAAAATACTGAGGTGGTGAGGTAGAAAACTGAGGACTTCCCTGACAGAAAAGTAGCAATACAATTTTGCATTATACTTGCACTAATCTGACAGTGTAGGTGGGTGTTCTTATGCTGGAATATAGAGCTCACCACTGTGAGTAAAATACAACTCATCTGTGCTGTGTATTTTTTCCCATGTAGAAGATTCCTATCTTGGGTAGTGTGATTTATGTAGGGACGAGACTGAGGCTGAACATATATGAATATGTATGAGGTTGATACTGAGAGGATTGGGAAACTGAGATTGGAGTAGAGTGGGAGAGTTAAAGGACCCTCAGGAGTGAGGATTAAATGCTTTTTTTTCAATTGCTTATTTAGTGTGATATTTTCAAGTCTGCTATGCATGCTTTTCCCACTCTTAATTAGTTCAGATAATCAGTAATCTTCTGAAAACTGCAGATTGGTTCTGCAGCAGTGTTTCAGGGAGAATGTGGGGGGTTGAGGAGAGAGAGAAAAGAAAATTGCCAAGGAACAAGTAGCATCCATGGTTTTGTGCTTCAAATCCATATGTGAGATCCCTTGTAAATGACTGCAGTAAGCGACATGCTGTAGCTGTAACAGCTAATCCAGCTCCCTGCCATGTCTCTTGACAGCTCTTAAAATGCTGTTCTGTAGGTGACTGTGGTTGCTGTGCTGATTTAAACAGATTTAATGAACACCTTTGAAGTCACTAGTGAAAACCTGTATTTAAGGATGAGGCTTGCCATGTAGCAGAGTCACTGTTAATGGTGCAGATTAGAATTGAAATGTGTTCTAAGTCTGGGAATACTTAGTGAGTATTGAAAGGGGGGAAAAAAGCAACTAAAGTCCTTTAAATGAAAAGACTGCTTCAGTGTTCGGTGCAAGCCATCTTTATAAATGTACTTGCAAACGTTTATTATACTCTTGTGGAAAGCAGTGTGCACTTTGAAATCAGAAATAACTCTTTCAAGCTCTTCTCTTTATTTTGTTATGAAGTCTTTCTATGGTTTACCTAGAAAATTACTGCTTTCCCATAAGCACCATGATAGGACTGCCATTTACTTAGGAAAGGCTCAGGTGTCATTAGATGGGAACATTTTTCAGCACTAGCACTAAATCTGGAAGAAAAACCTTGTAATGGAACTGTCATTTTGTTGAATCTGACAGATGTGACCATGAGGTATTTCCTTAATGTGTTAATATTTTAGAAGGCTGTGCTTTCATTGTTTGTTTTCAAGTAACTTCTCATAGCAACTCGTTATTTCATGTACCAATGTATTTCATTTAATATTGAAATTGGAATGAGCATTTTAAGTTACCCCTCTGCAAGAGAATGAAAAATACATTTTGCAGAATGAAAGACTTTAAAGTGAAAACATTTCTTAAGATGTAAAAGTGACTTCCATAAAGACCTAGCAAACGAGCCATCTAACTGCAGTCAACAATTAATCACCAATGAGTGTATTGATGAACATAAAACATTTTGTACAGTATTTTTTATAAGTTTGTCATGCAAAGAACATGCAGTTCAAATAATTTTTTAAACGGGGGCGAACACCAACTAATCCCATCTGTTCCCTCTAATTCTGCAAGTAATTCCTTTCCAGCTCTGAAAGGTCAGTGGTACTTGGTTACCAGGATGTGAGCTGATCTGCTAAAGAGGGAGTTGGTGCTCTGGCAGAGATCCCCGTACAAACTGAGAAATACTAAATGTTTTAGGCTGTGAGTTTTACTCAGCATGCCACTTGATTTTTATCCTCCTCTCACTTTTGTATTTGTTCATTAGACTGCTGGAAAGTTTGTATTTTTCAAAATCTGGTGTCTATTACTGAATATGAATCTTGGATTTCAGTTGTTTTTTCAATATTAAGTTATGTTTTCTT